GCACATTCCAGGTTCACATTTACAGCCCAAGAAGGTTGTACATATGGATGAGTCCCTGTGGCTACCTTTTTGAGTGTGTATGTCGGGTTTACATATAAAACTGTGTTTGTGTGACATAAATGTGTGCTTTTCCTGCTTTGGTGACTGTTTTGGTTTATGGATCTGTTGTGGACGTCAGTGTATCTCTGTACAGATGCTGACTGCCTCTAGGAATGTGTATGTCCCATGGGTATTGCATATCTTTCGGTGTTGGTGGCTGCATTTGTCTTGTTGTGGGTATATGTGTGTGGCTTTCTGTCTGCTCTCTGAACATGAGTGACTAATGAAAACAGTGAAGACAAAACATCTAATAAGTCAAGACTAAATCCTCTATTTTCCTTTAAGTAGATCTTAGAGTTCAAGAGACTAAACACTGACTGCATTCATCCACTCTACTCCATAGGGCCACAACCCTGGAATGGTATATGCAAATAGTGTGTAATGGCCAAGGAACCAAGAAGTACATTTGTGTGTGCCTGTGATGAGTCTGGGAAGGGTATACTGCGGGGAGCAGAACTTGTCCCTGTAGACGATTTCATGCATGAGCAGCACCAACAACAGAGAGCCTGGGGCCTGTGAGGTCCAGGGCAGCTCTGGAAGATGGCAGAGGCCCAGAGTTCTTGCATGTGTGTGTGTGTGTGTGCATGCCTCTGTGTGTGGGTGCATGATTAAGGCCACCACATTGCCCAGCTATGGGCCTACCATTTGCTGTGTCTTCTGTGGAGTTCCAGGAGGCGCTATGCACATTGAATACAATGTGAATGTGCCCCATCGATTTGTGCAACACAGAGGTCCTGGGCAGCATGGTAGACATAGGGTTACCTGTCACCATATCCCTGTTCCCATCCCAACCAGACCAGCTCCCGCCCTGAGACAGTGTTGCTACCCCCAAGCCCCTTCTCATGACAGCTCTCTGATCTGAGGCTGGACAGAAGAAAGCCAGGGACTCATTTCCAGGGTCCCAGCTCCCCAGGGTGTGGAAGCACAGCCAGAAACCAAGTCCTCTTTTCCTGGAAGGTTACAGTGACTTGTAAGAAAAAAATCTTCTTACTGAAAGAAATTAGATGAAAAGGATGGGAAAGAAGGCAAAAAAAAAATTTTTTTAACTGAGTTTTGCTTAGGAAAGGTCAGCCCCAGGAATCTGTTTCCTCACCAGCATGAGTGCTCAGCGGCCTTCTCCAGATCAATAGGACACTGATCACCTCATAAAATTGTGTTGAGGCAGCAGGGGGCAGGTGGGGGCACTGGAGGGAAGCTGCCTATCACCAGGGCTGAGCCCCCTGAGGGCAGGGCTTTTGGCCGAGCTCCATGCTGCCAACCTCCCCCTGCCCAAGCCCTCATGCCACCTCTTAGGAGCCCAGAGCAACCTGGTCCTCATTTTCAGGTTCTATGGCTCCATGAATAGCTGTCCTTGCTTATGACTGAGCTGGGAGCCCCTTTCTGGGGCAGCCTGGGCCCCTTGGTCAGGCCACTCACTGCAGTCTTCCAAGGCTAAGGCCACTGCTGAGTACTGTGTAATTGGCATAGGTAGCCCCCAGGAAGGCATGGAATTCCAGATGGGGAAATTACCAGGGGTATTTACCATTGGTCGGTGGAGCTACTTGCAAATTATTTTGCAGTAAGAGGTGTATGTGCAGTTGAAGGAAAGAGAAGCTGAGGGATGGGAGTAGCAGTGACCTTCATCCAGAATCCTCTGTGCACATGTTTGGCCTGCACATGAGCATCTGCTCAATCCCTTGCACCCTGAGAAGATGCGCAACTTTGCCATCTTTAGCCAGCCTTAGCCATAAGGCACAGCACAAACAGTCTATAGGCTTGGGGAGTGTGGGAGAAGGAAAGGGGGACAGAGACACTTTCAAAGACTGGAGGATGCTGTTAACATGTCAGTCCAATTATGGTAATGTGCTGGGGTAATTGGCCCTCCAAGGGCGCAGGGGATGCACATGAGTACAGTAATTGCAGGTTCACTTTGCTCCGCATTCTTTACCCTGCTTTGGTGACTAATTATTAGTATTTAGCAAGTATATATTCTCATCTTCAAAGCAGGTGCAGCTGTGGCTCAGGCATTGGAGCCGGGGCCGGCAAAAGGTCAGCCTCTGCTTGGGGATAATTAATTTGTCTTTTATGGATCTGAAATGCGCTCCAAGCTTGTCTCTTCTTTTTTGCTTCCAAACAAACAAACCGAAAGGAAGGAGAATATACCTTACGGTTTATTTCAGTGCCCTTTCCATTAAAAGGCCAGCATCGACAAAGTGAGGTAAATGACTGGAGGGGGTCATTTATGAACCTCTGTTTTCTTTAGGAAAAGAGCCATAAATTGATCCCCTGCCAGGATCCACATGAATAGGAAAACCAAATAGTCTGAAGTGATAGTCAACAGGTGAGTATCGTCTGCAAACTCTTTGATATTCTACTTACTTGTTTGTTACAACCTATATATTGGACACTGGGACACTCTGTTCCCAAAAGGATGTTTGGAATTCGAATATGAAGGAGGATGACAATAGTACAGCTATTGAGTGACTGCCGGGTCAGATGCTACGCTCCTGTATATAAAATGCTTACTTCCTCAAATCCTCACCACAGCTCTAGGAAATAGGTACTGTTATTATCCCTATTCCGTAGCTGAGAATCTGAGGCTCAAAGAACTTAAATATGTTGCTCAAAGCTGAAGTAACACAGCTACATTTAATCCCTGGTCTGTCTGACGCCTAACAAAATCCCTTTATTTAGTGAGAAGCTATGCTTGGTTCTCTGGAATGCAAAGGCAACACTCACTAACTTTGCTTATGGAGGACCAAAAGCACAGGCATTTATTTATTTTTTTTAATCAGAGCTTTCTAAGGTATCTCAGGAGGCCAAAGTTTGAATTAAGCATTATTTCACAGGTATGACGCTTGATGGAATTTTACCAGAGACAAAACAGAAATCAGCACGGAAATAGGAGAGGAAATGGTCCCATCCTGAGTCCTGCTCTTTATTGAGTCTCCTCTACAACCCTGGTACACCAAGCCCTTTTCCTATCCAGCTGCCTTCTTCCCTGCAGGGTGCTGGCTCAGTTAGATTCCCACTCATTTTCAAGTATTGTCTTGGAAACTCTAATAATTTCATATTCATTTATTTCTCTAATAAGGATCCAAATGCATTTAGGTCACAGAACTGGCCACATGTGCTTTTGCTGCTCCTGAGGCATTTGGCTCTGCCCTGGGGAAAAAGGAGGTGCCCAGTAAGTCCTGACTGAATCAGACTGGGGAAGGAGAGTAGATAAGGCTCCTCCTCTGATAGTTGGGTTGACAAAGGAAGACCTTTTGTTTCATGCTGGCTTGGCTAATACAGAATAATTTAAGAGATACTTGTGACCCTCTCACACACATACATTTTGAGTTCAGAAGAGTATATGGAAGTTTCTTATGATCCACCTTCATTGCAAAATGGAATTCGATCATATGGTATCATTCTAAGGGGTGGCTGGCCGGGTGAAAGAAGTGAATGTATGGGAGGAACTTACAGAGGATGGGAGTGGATGCTTCAGGAGTTTAGATTTGTGTCCAAGCCTTGCTGCTATGGCAGGGTAACTAAATTTTGTTCCACGGTTTTGCTGCAGCCTACATATTGATGCAGCTACATGAATTCTCCTCTTTGCAACCTGACCTCTTTCTTACTGTGAAATGATCTCATTTCAAGGCTAACCACAAGAGGTTTGGCTGGGCACCCGGCATGCCGTGTGCCTGGCATTTGCAAATCTTCATGCAAAGTGCAAAGTTTTTTTTAAAAGACAGTAAATAATCCTGTCCAGAGAAATCTTGGAAAGGTCTGCTCCCAGCCACGAGGTTTAAAAAAAAAAAAAAAAAAAAAAAAGCAATCACTCTCCCCACCCTCACAACCATTATCTGCTGCTCTTCTCGAATGCTAAGGCTTAAGTCGCTTTTAATTTTAGATCAGGAACAATCTGATTTGGGGCCAAGGTCTTTTTTCAACTGTCCTTCAAAATGTATTAAGCTGTGGTGTTTTTCCACCTCCAGCCTGCTCTGTTTCAGTTTCTTCAGTGCCAAAAGCTGAGGCTCCACCAAGAATCCGACCTACAGCCAGGATGCAGTGAGACTGCACTCTGCAAAAAGCATCACCCTCCTGCCTACAGCAGGAAGCCCAGCAATCCTATGAGGAAGAGAGAGAGAAAGAGAGATGGCTCCTTGTCTGCCCAGTGTTGGGGGGTACTCCTCACTTGTTTGGCAGAGCGTGGTGATGCCTACATGACTGGCCAGGCAAAGGACCAGAGACTAAGACAGTAGGCAGAGTTCCCAGAAGCTTAGGCCACAACTGCCCACTTCCTTACAGCATACTCCCTCTGTGCCCCTGTCTAACACAGAAAGGAGAGGGTCCCCTGGCAGACCACGTTGTCCTTTGGTCAGTGCCATCTTGCTGTCAGTCTCCTGTGCCACCAGTGGACCCTGGGCATGCAGGTCATTCATCCCATGCAGAGTGACCAGGTATGGGATAGATGCGGATGCCTGGGCCTCACTTTCAGTTCTGTGGACAGAAGCCCAGCCGCCCACTCCAGCCTCGGTTTGTGAAGCCTTAGCTCTGTCTCTTGGGGGTGTTCTGCTCCCACCATGAGCCTCCACCCAGGATGAGATGTGCAGACATGGTGGAGGCTGAGACACAGAAAACCCCATATCCCTAAGCTGACTCTATCTTACTGTAGACATTAACACTGAATCTACAAAATAAGAGGACATCACGCCTCTCATTTTGTTCCTTCAAAGTCTTCCACACCTCAGTGGACAGATCTGATTCTAGACCTCGGCCCCTTCCAGAGTCCCCCAGCTGCAATTCCTAGAGTAGGTACCAAGATCTGACCAGGTAGGGGATCCTGTTCAACATGGCCTCGACACCACCTTGGCCTCAACACCACCTTGGCCTCTCAATTGGAGTTGGAGTCTTGTGGATGACAGAATTGACTCTTGAGCAAGATGCCAAATTTCTTTAACCCTGGTATTCTCCATTGGCATATTCTTTCTCCAGGCCTCTGGCAAGAGGAATGTGTGGTGGAGGGTGGGAGGAGTGTGAGGAAAGGAGGATGAGCTAACAGTGACAGGCTGAAAATGGGAAAAGTTTAACTCTAAGGCACTGCTGGGCCCCTTGGGATCCCAGGCTCTGAAGAGCCTAGGAAAGTGACAAAATATTTAAATACATATATTTTTTCCTTCCCTCAGCCATGGCCTTTCTTGAGAACATTTGACAAGGTTGTTGGTGAATAAGCATATCCAGTGTGCAGCCAGACAGTCTGGCAAGTGCTAAGGAGAACAGCAGCAGCAGCAGCAGCAGGTAAGGGGATGGCCTCCTCTTTCGCAGGAAGAGCGCCGTGCTGCCTGAAGGAAGAAGAATCAGTTTCTGAAAAAGAAAGGAGTATCTTTGAGTTGCACCAATGAAATGCCCTGAACCCAGCCTGAATGCTTATTGGGTGGGGATGCAGGAGTGAGTAAGAATGGGATTGGTCCATGCAGGAGACTTGGTTTCCTAAAAATCTGAGCATATACAGGCTTGAGTCAATGCAACTGGGTCTTTAGACGGACCTCAGTACCTCAAGCCTGTAATCCCAGAACTCTGGAAGGCCGAGGCGGGTGGATCACGAGGTCAAGAGATCGAGACCATCCTGGTCAACATGGTGAAACCCCGTCTCTACTAAAAATACAAAAAATTAGCTGGGCATGGTGGCGCATGCCTGTAATCCCAGCTACTCGGGAGGCTGAGGCAGGAGAATTGCCTGAACCCAGGAGGCGGAGGTTATGATGAGCCAATATCGCGCCATTGCACTCCAGCCTGGGTGAAAAAGCGAAACTCCGTCTCAAAAAAAAAAAAAAAAAAAAGAAGAAGGACCTCTGTACCTTGCCCTGTTTTAAAGGGATGATTTAAGATTCAAACCACAGGACCCTTGCTCCAGTCCTCAGTGCCTGCCCCACAGCCCTCTCCTCATGGAAGTATTGTTGGGAGTGACTCAAGGTGATATTCCTCAGTTTTGATCTTCATTTGAACTGTCATGCCATCCCACATATGCCCCTTCCTCTTTTCCTTCATCAGATTTCATTAGAATCAACACAGAGTTGTGGAAAGGGCACCGGGACCAATATATACATATATATATATATATATGTGGAAAATTATCTCCACTCTGTCCTCAAATAGCTGACGGCAGGTAATTTGCTCTTCTCTGCTGGACTGGATCTGTTCATGTTTTATGGTTCTGCGCTTTCAAGATTCTATGCCTAAATCTTAATACCTGGCTCAGTGTTCTATGTTCCAAATATGTCTTATCTGTCTAGAGCTTTGGTTGGGACCCCTTAAATCCTGGTGTGGTTTTGCCAAATCTGAAGCTCCCTGAGATTTGTCCTAAAGAATCTTGGAGCTCTTCTCTCTTACTAGGCTTTAGCCCTTCTCTATTTTCTTCTTGCATATGAGATTTGAATGTCTCCATGATAAACTCTTTGCACTCTCCACCTTTTGACTTTCTCCAAAGGAAAATGTTTCATTCATTCAGCAAATATTTACAGAGTGCCTTTTATGCAGTAGGCCCATGTAGCAGTCAGCTGTTGCTGCAACAATGCTGCGGAAGAAAGAACCCCCAGATAGCAGTAACTATCAACAATGAGCATCTGTTTTTCTTGCTCACAGAGCTACAGGTTGGCTGGGATGGCTTTTCTCCAGGATTCAGGATTGGGTTCCGGTCTGTTTTTCAGGTCTTCATTTCAGGTCACAGGAAGAAGAGACAGCTATGTAGGGAGGGGAGAAATCTCTTCAGGAAATCAAGCCAAACCACATGAGCATGTTTTAAAACCTCTGGTCGGGTGTAGTTTACTTCTACTAACATACCGTATTAGACAAAGGAAGTCACAGGGCCAAGCTGAAAGTCAATGAGACAGGGAAGAGAATTCTCCTCTCACAGTTAAGCCATGCAAGCATAGGGAAAGAAGGAAGAATTATGAACAAATAATATAATATAAAAACATAAAACAGTTTCTACTTTCATAAAGGTCAAGTCTGAGTGACAGATATTAAACACGCAACAAGAAAATTAATATATACTAAACTAGGATAAATGCTAAACAAAAAATGAATAACACGAGGGACCTACATGTAGATTGGTGATGTGAGAAGTCCTCTGTGAGGTAGTGCCGTCGAAGCTGAGACCTGAAGGCTAAGAAGGAGTCAAGTAAGCCCACAGAGGACAAAGAGTTTTCCGCCAGTAGGAATGGCTTGTGCAAAGGTCCTGGGGAAGTGATGATGCTGACAGTTGAAGAACTGGAAAAAGATCCAGTGTAACTAGGAATATAGTAAGGGAGGACAAAGTCGCGGGGGTGAGATTGAAGACGCCTGCGGGTGCCAGATCATGCAGGGTCCTGGACTGTTACTGCTGTCTCTCAGACCTTCCAACTATGGCTCTTCCATTTATTCGGTGCTGATTAAAACACACACACACACACACACACACATACACACACATACACACAGACACATACACACACACATACACACACACACATACACACAGACACATACACACACATACACACAGACACATACACACACACACATACACACACAAACACACACATACACACACACATACACACAAACACACACATACACACAAACACACACACATACACACAAATACACACACATACACACACACATACACACAGACACATACATACACATACACACAGACACATACACACAGACACATACACACACATACACACACACATACACACACAGACACATACACACATACACACATACACACAGACATACACACACATACACAGAGACACATACACACAGACACACACACACACATACACACAGACACATATACACACATACACACACATACACACAGACACATACACACACATACACACACATACACACAGACACATACACACAGACACATACACACACATACACACACAGACACATACACACACATACACACACATACATACAGACACATACACACAGACACATACACACAGACACACACATACACACACACAGACACATACACACAGACACACACAGACACACACAGACACATACACACATACACACACATACACACAGACACATACACACACATACACAGACACATACACACACATACACACATACACACACATACACACAGACACATACACACACATACACACACACATACACACAGACACACACACAGACACACACACATACACACACACAGACACACACACCACCTCCTCCTCCTTAAAGCTTCCTTAAGTTGATTGGCGTGTCAATGTCACTTTGTATTTCAAGAAACCAAAGGAAAAACAAAACAAAAGCCTTTAGTCTGTGTTGCAGGGGCTTGTGCTGGGCCAGGATTCAGAAAGTTTGGAGAACTATCAGGCTTCACCTGGGTGAGAGTCACTTGCAAAACCAGAAAGTAGCATTTCACATCTTACAAGGGATTAACAGTCACAGTTTAGCAGGGACTATCTGTTAAGTGAGTTCCTTTGTCTGTGTGGAGCTGGTAGAGGCTCCTGCCCTGAACAGAGGAGGGCTGGAGGATCCTCCCTGCTGAGAATCATCCTTCAGGGCAAGAGAAGCAGGCCCTGAAGAGAACTGAAGTTATGAGAAGGTCCATTTCTGAATACAGCTTCAAGTTGGCCCTCAAATCTTCTCTGGCACAAGGAGACTTTTTGGAATAATGAAAAACTTCTATATCTTGATTAATTAAGGTGCTGTTATACAGGTTTGTCATTTGTCAAAACTCATCAAACTATGCACTTAAAATGAATACATTCTATTGTATGCAAATTATACCTTAATAAAGTTGATTTTAAGGGTAAGTAATCAAACCAAATCAAATTATAAATAGATAACAAAACAAAAACCGGACACTAGGCAACCTCCATTTTTCCTGCAGAAATTACAGTAAATTTAAAAAAGAAAAAGCTTTCAATGTACTCTAAAATATTAGAGCACAAATAGCTTTCTCTACTCTGGGACCCCTTTAACAGGAAAATGAAGAGGGAGGGAGGTACTCTCTCTCACCTTGTCACAGAGCACTGGGCCTCTCTGAGACACTGAGAACTCAAGGATGTTAGTGGTAGAGTACCACCATCACTGTGTGATGTTAGGAATATCACGTAGGCTTGGTGGCTGTGCCTGGTACAGGACCTACTACGGGAACAGAGACCCCACCAGACAGAAGTGAGAGACATCTAGCAATCTGAAGAAGGTGTGGCAGCAAGGGTGGGCACTGGTCCAGTGGTGCCCAGGAGAAAGGGCAGCATCTATGGTAACACTGTATGCAGAAATACAGAAATATAATGCCTGCCACAAGTGCAAACCACAGATATAACTTTAAATTTTCTAGTAGCCACATTGGAAAAGGCAAAACAAACAAAAAACTAATCTCAGTATCCAAAATATTATCAAGTCAATATGTAATCAGTATGAAAAACATAGTACTGAGACACTTTGCATTTTTTGTACTGCCTTTGAAATCCGGTGAGCATTTTACACTATGGTGTGTCTCAGTGTAGATTAGCTGCATGTCAATGGCCCAGTAGCCCCATGTGAACTTCCTACTGGACAGCACAGCTCTTTGGGCACAGCAGCACCCACGTGACCAATTTTATCTCGTGCGAGGCTCTCCCCATCCCACTCCACTCAAGAAAAAGCCCACAACTCAGGGCTTTTTCCAGCCATACCAGGGAGTACATACGGGCCAGGGCCTTGGGTGGGCAGGCAGAGGTAAGAACCTGAGAAATAAGAGCTATTGCCATGAATGAGAGCCATGGGCTAGAGAGCCTCAGAAAGCTCAGATTATATGTATATTTTAAAGTCTAGCTCCAGCGTAAGCTTCAATGTTCTGTTAACAGTGAGCACCACAGAAAAACATCAACCGTGTCTTGTCAACCCTCTTAAACTTTGTGCTTCTGTTTACCTACAATGTGCATGCTACATGGCAGGACCCCATTTTCATTCAAGCCCCCTATAATTCTTTTTTAGTTTACTTGTTTATTCTCCCCACCTTGTCCTAAACCAGCTGGTAGAGTAGAATATTTTAAAGCTGAATTTCTGCAGTTTGTATTATAAGAACACTTGGCTTACTGGATCAGCATTTCAAACTACACTTACCCTCCTTTCTCCTTTTAACTCCCTCTTCTCCCTTTAGTCCCTCTCCTTCTCCTTTTAGCCCCCTCCCCCATCACCTTGTCCTGAGTGACAAGTTTTACCCAGCTGAGAATCACTTGCAAAACCAGAAAGTAGCATTTCACAGCTTAGAGGGGATTAAAACAGTCACAGCTTAGCACTTACTATCTGTTAAGTGAGTTCATACATCTACAAAGCTTAAAACCGTGCCTGGCACAAAGTAAGTTCTCGAAAACTGTCAGCTACTACCAGGATCAAGTAATGGAACAATCCCATTCAACAGGTATTTCTTGGGTACCTGCTCTGTGCCAGGCACTGTCCTAGTGTTGGGGAACAAAAGGGAACAAAATAGATCCCTAAGGTCAGAGAGTTAACATCACAGCTGGGAAGAGAGACAAGCAACAGTAAACATCATAAATATGTAGATTTTACTGACGGCTAGAAGGTGGTAAGTCCAGTGGAAAAAAAAGATAGAGCAGCTTAAGGTGAATGAGAGTACAGGATGAGGCAGTGTGACTGGAGCAACGGCCTGAAGGAGGGGAGGGGGGTTATCAGGAAACGACCTGTTGGTCCTAAAGCTGGGGTGTCTGGTGTGCTGGAGAATCATGGTTTTGTTCATTTGAACTATGAGAACAAAATATCATAGGCTGGGTGACGGTGACTTATAAACAACAAAAATTTATTTCTCATGGTTCTAGAGGCTGGGAAGTTCAAGATCAAGGTCCTGGCAGATCCTGTATCTGGTGAGGGACCACTTCCTAGTTCATAGATGACCGTCTGTTTGCTGTGTCCTTCCTCACATGGTGGAAGGAGCGAAGGAGCTCTCTGGGACCTCTTTTATACGGGCACTAATCTCATCAGGACCCAGAGCCTTCGTGATTAATCAACTCCCCAAAGCCCCACGCCCCAAATACCACCGCACTGGGGATTAGGTTTTAACATATGAATTTGTGAGCAAATATTCTGCTTGTAGCAAATAGCAAAGAGATTGTTATGGAGAGAGCCCAGAGGTGAAGACTAGGAAAGTAATGAGTGATAGAAAGGAAATCAGAGAATTAACAAAGAGAGCAGAGCAGCGATAAATGATAGATTACGGGGGCCTCGGGCTGGTGTAAAGACTTCAGCTTTCACTCTGAGGAATGAAGACACATTGCAGGGCTTGAGGCTGAGGAGGTGCAGGGCCAGATTTCCATTTTAAGTAGATCATGTCAGGTGCTTTATTGAGAATAGACTGTGGAGGGTGGAGACAAGACTGCAGCAGGAGGCCAGTGAGGAGGCTGTGGTGCAATCCAGGCAGGAGATGAGGTGGCCTGACCCAGGAAGCCGGAAGCGGAGTGGTGAGAAGTGATATCACGGACCTGTAATCAACTGGCCATGTCTGTGTGCCCCAACTAGCTAGAACGGCCCATCAGGCAAGTGACAATGTTTCTTACCTCTTTACACCATCCTCAGTAGTAAATACTGGTCATTGAGTTTGGTATCTAAACCAAGTTTAAGATGCAGCTATAAGGAAGTGTCATGGAGAAAACTTACTGGTTATATTCAAATTACCAGCAAATTTCAAGCAAAACCAAATGTATCTATAGTGGACGTGCCAATGAAGCAGGAGGAAACTTTGAAGAAAAGGAAATCTCAGGGTCAGGAGCAACAGAAGGGAATGTAAAGAGGGAGGAAGAGAGAGAATGAGAATGCGAGAGGGAGAAGGAGAGAGAGAGAAAGAAGGGCGGGGGAGAAAGGGGGACCAAGACTAGAGGACATGGCTCAGCTGTGAGAAATGATCTGGTCACACCTGACAGAGGCTTAAGTCAAAAAGTTGTGTGGAAATGGCAAGCTTGGGCCTGGTCCAGAATTGCAAAGCTGAGAAATAAGGAGTCTGGGTGAGCTAAAAGCAATCTTTCACTCAAGCCTAAGGGAAAAAATCAAGTAAGATTAAAATTTGTACTTACAGTTTCATAATGGCAATAAATTGTACTTAGATGACATTTTTAAAGTTTACTTTTTAAGATACTCTCTTTTATTTCTCAGTGTTGTTGTTGAGCTTTTTTTTTTTTTTTTTTTTTGAGACAGAGTCTTGCTCTGTTGCCAGGCACCAGGCTGGAGTGCAGTGGCACAATCTCAGCTCGCTGCAACCTCCGCCTCCTGGGTTCAAGCAATTTTCCTGCCTCAGCCTCCCGAGACGCGCCACCATGCCCGGCTAATTTTTGCATTTTAGTAGAGACAAGGTTTCACCATGCTGGCCAAGATGGTCTCGATCTCTTGACCTCATGATCCGCCTGCCTCGGCCTCCCAAAGTGCAGGGATTCCAGGCATGAGCCACCGAGCCTGGCCTGTTGAGCATTTTTTTTGCTTTTTTTTTAAGAAAAAAGTTTTATTTCAGGGGAAGAAGAATAAAAAAGCAGGATCACTGCATAGTGGAAAAAACACATGTTGGCCTCAGGGTTCCTGGATATGTAGCTTTATTCTCATTCATTATTTGTGTGACCCTTAGGCAAGTCATTTCCGCTCTCTGAGCCTCAGTTTTCTTTTCTGTGAAATGAGAACACAGGGTTAAATGATCTCTTCTGGCTGTAAAATCATGTGGGTTTTTAACGGAGTGAAAAATGAACTCATTTCCCTCTTAGTTAATACCCTCGTGGACTGCCTGCCAATGTGAAACTCAAGGTCAGGGGTATGAGTAAAGCCCTCCTTACCTATCAGTGCATCCTGACTGCAGGCAAACAGGGGTCTCTCGCGAGCTAGATTTGCAAGCTGAACCCATCACATGACAACGGGCAGTCCACTCAGAGGGCGGGTGGGGGTTCAACAGAGACCCTGGCTCCTCTCACAACTCTGGGGGAGCCTGGCCTTGACTCATCCCTGGAATGGTGTCTGCCTCTCCATAACTGTTTATGAGGCCCTGCCCTCCGACACCTTGTCTTCAGGCTTTAATTGAACATTTAAAGTCCCGTATTCTCTCAGCTGTCAACTGTTCCTAACCGAGCACACACACGTGCTGAGCCAGGTGTGCTGGGGACCCAGCTGTGAACAAAGACCCTCACAGTCTAATAGGGAAAACAGACATTAAACAACAGCTATGAATGATTTATTATAAAATCCTGAGCATGCAAAGTGCTACGCAAAGAATTCCTCAGAACTACAGAAGCACTTAATATTGCTAATTTAGACCCCCAGGCTAAAAAAAGCGATATTTAAATTCACCCCTCAAGGATGAACCAGAGTTAGACCAAGAGAGGGAAGAATGTGCTGGACTGAGGAAATAGCTTTGAAGAGGTGACAGAGGACCCCTCTCTGAAACTTTCCTCCTGTCATGCCACCATGTTTACCAAGGATTTAGAGGGGTAATGGTACTCATTCATTTGTCCCGTCATTCATGGCCATTATTATGCACTTACTATCTGCTGGGATATGGTAGTGAACAGGAAGAATCAACCCTCTTAAATAATTCTACCCTCATGAAACTTATATTCCAGTGGAGAAGGCAGCCAAATATATAATAAATTATGATGAAATTAATATTGAAATTGAAATCTTTTTCCATATTAATGTTGAAAAAAGCAGGAAATGGATAAATACATTGTCAGTTCAAGGGGTGAGGGAACAACATTATATGAGGTGGTCAGGGAAGGCCTTATAGTGAAAAGCCTAAAACAGTTGGGGTGGGTGGGGGACCTTGCCATACCCAGGGGAAGAGTATTCCCTGCAGAGGGAGCAGCAATTGCAAAGGCTGTGAGGCAGAAGTGTGCCCGGCCAACATGAGAAAAGGCAAGGAGGCCAGCACGGTCAGGAACAAAGTGAGCAGAGGGATTGGGGGTGAGGCCAAGGGGGCCACGGGGCCAGGCTTTGTGTGACTTTGGAGGACATTTAAGGATTTGGGCTTTTCCTTGAATGAGGCGTTTGAGCAGGCAGTGACATGATGAGACACAATTTCAAAAGATACTCTGAGTGGCTATGGAGAAGACTGTAGGCATTGATGCAAGGGTGGACCAAGGAAGCCCACGTCAGAGACTGGTGATATGGGCTAGGATAGCAGGCTCTGAAGGAGTGAGAAGTGTTAGAGTCTGCATATATTTTGAAGGAGTAGCCAATAAAATTTGTTGATGGATTGGATATGGGGTATGAAAGAAAGAGGAATCAAAGGAAACACCAAGATTTTTGGCTTGAGTATCTGGAAAAATGACATCGCTACTTATGAGATGAGAAAGGCTGTAGGAGGAGCCGACTTAGAGGGAAAAATCAGAGGGGCTAGCATTGGGACATGTTAAGTCTGAGATCTCCATTAATCATCCAATGGAGACAAGCAGTACGAGTTCAGGAAAGAGGTCTGGAAGGAAATAAAAACAACATGGGAGTTGTCAGATATTTAGAGCCAGAAGACTAAGTGAGATTATCTACAGAGTGAGGGTAGTTGGTAGGAGAGAGAGGTCCCTGGAGCCCTACAGCACTGAGGAAGAACTTGCAAAGAAAAACTTCAAAAGAAGCCGTGATCAAAGCTACCTTGAGTGGGCCAAACTTTGTTCTTCACCAGCTCTCTCCACCCACCCCATGCTAGCCTCCTCAACATTCAATGCCTGACATACACACGCACGCGTGCGCGCACGCGCGCACACACACACACACACACACACACACACACCCAACTTAATTTCCTGTTTCTGAAACAATCCCTATAAACTTATAAAACTAACCAGGGAAGAAGTGGGGGGGGGGTGTAACAAAAATGAACCAAGCTGGCAGCGTATTCAGCATTGATCATCAGGTCGGCTTCCTCACTGACCTGCTTACTCAGAGTTGTTTGTCTACTGTCCTAGAATTGTGTGGACCCTGTTACAAGATTACAGTTCCCCTTAACCGTTCTACTGACACCAGCTGGTCTGAAGAACCCCACTGATGCCAGATGAAGGACTCCACAAGAAGCTAGGTCACCAAAGAAAGCAGTTTCCATGCTCTGAGGATTTCCTCCCCCTTGCTCCAACGGTTCAATAACCCACATTTTACAGCCCCCTACTCTTCATGATTCTCTTAAAGACCTCAGTCCAGGACTCAGGGAGATAGATTTGAGGGTCTCCTCCCATCTCCTGGCTCTATGCCCTGCAATGATTAAATCCTTTCTCTGCTTCAAACCCTGCTGTCTCAGCGCGACAGGTCTGTTCCTGTGCCGAAGCATTTGAACCTGCTGGTCCTATAACATTTCCTTTGTGTTTGTGTTCTATGTCCCTGCAAAGAACGGCAAGAATGTGAAGCACTGTCCCCAACCGAGCTGCATGAGGGGCAGGCTTGGACAGGGGCAGGAGTGCTGTCTCCCTGGAGATTGGCAGCCTGAAATGTTATTTTCATATCCCTTTCCTATTGTTAATTCTACTGATCACTGATCACACTGCTATGCCCTTGGAATAATTACGGAGAGGAGATCTCCTACGTACATTCACAAGAATGTGAACTTTAAAAATAGTGTTTGATTTTGAATACCAGGGATATTATGGTGCTCTCACAACAAAGAACGAGTCATCTCATCTAACTCCCTTCCTCTGGGGACATCTGAGCCAGTTCCAGGTGACCAGGTTGCTGTCTATTTTGTTCCCGGCATCTCAAACAGGAGTTGAGCCAGGAGCCTTAGTGGCCTGACCGTGTGCCATGTACCAGCCATTGGTCATAGCCATAACCATTTTTGGTGGTTGGCCATTCAGTCGATCCGTGGCCTGACAATCTGGTGGGGCATTACACTAGGGATCACCTGCTCTCCTGTGTCCTGTGTCCTCAGGTCCCAGCAACACGTGAAGTGAGCAAGTTAAAGGGCTACTGACATTTTTTTCTTGTTTAGATGGAGTCTTGCTCTGTCGCCAGGGTGGAGTGCAGTGGCACAATCTTGGCTCATTGCAACCTCTGCCTCCTGGGTTCAAGCGATTCTCCTGCCTCAGCATCCCAAGTAACTGGGACCACAAATGTGTGCCACCATGCTTGGCTAATGTTTTGTATTTTAGTAGAGACGGGGTTTCACCATATTGGCCAAGATGATCTCGATCTCCTGACCTCATGATCTGCCTGCCTCGGACTCCCAAAGTGCTGGAATTACAGGCATGAGCCACTGCGCACGACCATCTACACTGGCAATTTTGTCGCCAGTGGTCTGACTTGCTGACACGGTGAGGAGTACCCAGCATAGAAGCCAATGGAAACTTTGCTTGAGAGAGCTGTGGAGAACTGGGAAGGGGAATGGCCCCAGCCCCTCTGTGGAGAAACCAAAAAATACATATGCCTCAAATGAACCTCAGGGGGCAGAAAGGCCAAATTAATACATCTTGTTAGACAAAAGTCAGACAGCAAAAATGAGCAGCCAGGGAACCCAGATGCCAGCAGCATCTTTTCATTCTGATGTTCCATTAGAACCCCTGTTTTGTATAACCTCTGTATGCCTATAAAGCAGAGGATTTGGGAAGCAAACAATAGCTGACGGAGGTGTCAATAAGCCAATTTGTGGCTTGTTAGAATGTTATACTTGTTTATCAGCATTTAACGAGACAAGACATTGATGTTAACACAGTGGGAGGGAAGCTGCCTGGACCAATAGCATCCCTTGCTGAAAATTAATTTAAACTCTCTTTTCTTTGTGCCAGAAATGGTAGAGCTAATTCATTACCAAAGTGTTGAAATGCCACTGAAAATGAGTTAGGGTGATAGGGAAGAGTCTTCAGCAGCCGAACAAAATCCCAATTTAGCTTTCTTTTGGTAACCTCTAGTAAATGAGACATCGTGAAATAATATGCTTCATGGCAGGGAACAAAACAACAAGCATTTATTTAATTGGGGGATGGGGAAGGCTGCAGGGCTGGGAAAGGAAAGTTTCATGCATGGATTTTTGGAAAACTGAGTTGCTGTCCCCACAGCTGCATTTGCAGCCGCTGTGCATGGGTGGAAACCCAACGGTCTGTGTTTTGGACCTCTGTTGGTTTGAAAAGTCCAGGGTCCTGGCAAGGCCAGGTTCTTTAATCAAGCTTCTGTGAAATCTCTGTTCAGATAATTTACAAGATCTCGGCTCCACATGATGATCTGCGGTTGAAGCTGGACACAGCATCATTCCTCCCGCTGGCTCATGCTTCCCATTCAGCAGTAACATGGGTCATGTGACCTGAATTGGAGTAGTTTTTGCTTTTTGCTCCTTGTCGTGTATAACTTTGGCCACTTTATTCTCCTGGGGAAATTTCGGACATGAAAACTACAACTCATCAGGACCTAACCACTACGAGATTGAAGTACTCATTCGGCTCACTGCAAACTCCTCGTCCTTCCATTCTGTCTGTGCCCACATTTGGACCAGCACAGGAAAGATGGAGAGGGAATCATGAGGCCAAGTTACTCTGGGTTGGCTGGGTCCTTCTTCAGAACATCTTCCATCATCTCATCCATCCCAAGCAGAAATGGTATCGGGGGAGACCTCTGCAAGAGCTTCAAGGGAGAAAGCCCAATTCTGACCTCTTTCTGGATTCTGCAGACTTGTTGTCATTAGGCCAATGTCTTCACCCCTGTCTATTCCTTCCCCTTGCCCTGTGACTCTGCAGTTCTTCCCGTAAATGAGGACACCTTCCCTGCCCTTGGTTTTGTCACTGGCCATGTGACAGTGTGACAGTTCTGAGCCTAGGTTTTAAGTGTCACTGTATGCTCTGCTCAGCTTCAGGTGCTTCTGACATCCCCACTGGTCCCAGAGGAAGGCTGAGAGAGACATGGTACAGAGCTGTATCCCAACTGTCCAGTCAAGTCTGGTCGAGACCAGCTGACTGCAGGTGACCCACACCTGTGAGCTAAATAAAGAACTACTCTTGTACAGTGCCAAGTTCCGGGGTGCTCTGTTACACAGCAACAGCAAATCATAATGCCCCATTCAAAGCAGAAAAGAGAGTCTTATGTACATGAAGACCAGTCCTTTGGAGGGAAAGACTGACCTCTACCTAGGCAATTATCTAAAATTAGGAGATTCAGGGCGCATTCCCAGCCCGAATACCCTTCTCACAGTGAACTGTGCCACTGCACTGTCTCCAGGGCCCCCTCTCTGCTTCTGCCACCTGAGAAAATAAGAAAATGCCACAGTCTCACATGAAGAAGTTCCCTTTCTAGAGTTGAAGTACCTGTTTCCCTCATTCTCTCACCATCTCAAAGGGAGGGGAAGAAACACCTGTATCTGTCAAGGACCCATTCCAAACAACTGTTTTGGAATCTTCCTTAGACTCCTTATCCCACTCATGATAGGAAGATAGATTGTCACTTCCAGGATGCAAGGGCCAAACACATAGGAGAGTCTTTGCTCAGGGACAGTCAGATATCCAGAGAGCCTGTCCTTCCATGCCTTCCAGCCCACTGACAGCCGAATGCTCAGGCCAGCCTGAAAGGGTGATAGAGTTTTGTGAAACCCTTCGTAATATAAGCACAGGTCCTGGCAGCTTGAGTGTGAGCTGTTTTAGTACAAAAACCTAGATTATTCATTTTTCTGCTCATGAAAGGCTAGCGACTGCTACGTTTCCACTAAGCCTGGTTGGCATATAGCACAGAGCCTCCTTTTTTCCTGCTGTTTATGTAAATGGACTCACCTTGCCCAGGCTCTCTGCTGCAAATGTGTGATTAAAGGATTATAATGGTGATGGAAATAGTAATCACGTCTGTTTTCAGACAGAGCTGTCCCTCCAGGGGCCCAAAGTGGCTGTGCTCTTATTCATACCTGTAAGGAAAGGGAACTTCGCAGGCACTTCATAGATGCGTCAATAGGGCCCCAGAAAGGGTACGATAGCAACTTACTTCAGTATATCCAGCCTATGGGCTTCCAGCTTTGGTGGGGTGGAGGTGGTGGCTGTTGAAATGAAGCTCAGGGCCTGCAGACAGCCAGATCACCAGATCACCCAGACTGGAATTGGAACATCATTCATTGTGGTGGGTGAGCAGCTTAGGGGCAAAGCTAGCAGCAATGGGAGGTGGCCAGCCCATCAGGCAAAGATAATTATTTGGAAAACACATCATGAGAGCTAGAAAGACACCCTAACTGGTGCTCAGCATCTGGGAGGCCCAGTAGTTGGTGTTTAGTTTTTGAACAGCACAGAAAAGGGGATCTAGAAACAACAGTGTACAGTGGTTCCGGGTGAAGGCTCTGGAATCAGCATCAGGATAGGGTCAAGGGCAGGGCTGGACCTCTCGAGAGGGAGGACTCAGAAGAGCAAGGCAGGACCCAGGCTCAGAGGAGCAAGAAGGTGAAGCAGATTATCAGGGATGTCCAGCCTCGTCACTAGAGCCAGGCAGAAATCCCACTCAGCAGACTCAAAGGCCAGAGCGGGCCCGGAAGCGAGATTGATTGGTGCTGAGTCACCAAAACCACTCACTTGACTTGTTCTTTACAAAGAAAAGCCTGGGTCCCGCACCCAGGGAAAGGCTTATTATGCTGCTGGGAGGACAGTGAAGGAGGTGGGGGCAGCACCACAAAGGCCTTTTCAGTGCAGCCTTCTGGAGGTCATTGGGATTTGGGATTGCTCCCAATCAGAATTTTGCCTTATGAAAAAACAGAACTAGTCATATATCAGGACAAAAGTCCATGGTTCTAGCCAGGCAGCACCACTGCTTTACCATGGGACTTCGGCTGAGTAGCCACCCGTGGCCCTGCCTCAGCTTCCCCACCTCCCTAACTCCCTCCTTCACATCATTGTTAGGAAGAACATATGAAATAACATACTAAATCACTTTGGAAAAAATATAACGGTAGGGTGTTTTCAGTATTCATATTTATGTGACATATGCATCATCTTCTCTCAAAATTAAATTTCCCAAGGCTGACTGGCCAGTTTGAGGACTATCTCTAGTCCTTTTACGTTTCCTTGCTCTCCCACTCCTGGTCATTTCCTTGTCCATTATCTCCCAGAAGAGGCTTTAGTGATTTTAGAAGAGATAGAGCCATAGCATGTGAGAGAGCTGCTGGGGCTGGGAAGCTAGGGAGCATCTGGTCAACTTTTCGTTTCAGTAGTGGGGACTTAGTCACACATGAGCGATGTTACCTGACCAACGTCACACTGCTAGTTGATACTGAGCCAGAGAGCAGTGTCTGGCATACAGTGGGAACTCAGAATATAGTAGCCTCTGTTACCATTATTGCAACTATACCATGCTTTCATGAAGGAATTTAATTTGGTATTTATCAATAACTTCGATAGAAGGTTGGTATGGGAAACAGTGAGAGTTGAACAAGAGTCACAACTAATGTTGCAAAGGGCATTTTTAGATTATCCAACGTCAGCTTTAATGCCTCCTCCTCCAGGAAACCGAAGCTGATCAGGATCCCTTCCTGCGTTCTCATTATGTCTTCTTGTATCTCAGCCTTATCCCACCATGCTAAGTTGAAATTACTTCATTTTCTTGTCTCTCTCCCCTTCTAGATTTGAGATTATTTGAGGGTAGGGACTGTGTGGTTTTCTCAAAGTTGAGTCCAGAGTGCTTCATGTTTAACATATAAAGCTGTAGATTGTATTACAGTTCAGTAATCTGTAGGATACGTCTTAGATGTGCCCATTTCTTTGAGCTTATGGTCCCAGAGAGCCCTAGTGTTCAATAAACTTTAGTTATCATCCCAGTTGCTTTATGTATGATCTGCACAACTTTACTCAAGTCACTTACCCTCTTAAAGCTCCAGTTTTTTTATAACTAAAAAAAAAGGCAGCTATTTATGAAAGGAATTTGTCAATAACTATCACATTTACAAATGAATAAAGCCTTTGCCCGAACAATTCCTGTTACAGAAATTTATCTTCAGATACACTCCTATATATCCTGCCGGTATACTTACTTACAGTTATTCATTACAGTTTTATTTGTAAAGATTAACGATTGGAAACAACTTAAATTGGTTAAAGAAATTAATTTCTAGAATATAATACTTTGCAACCACCAAAAAGAATGATGTAAGCTTGTATATAGTGATATAGAATAAGCTCCAAAGTATAATATTAAATGAAAAAGTTCAAGGCAAATGACATTGTATAAAGCAAGCTTTCAATTCATGGAGAGAAGAGAGAGAATATATGTGTATATTTGCTTGTATATGCATAAAATATCTCTGGAAGGTTACTCGGGGAACTGGTGACATTTACTTGAACCATGTGAAAATAGGAATATATTTTCAAAGAATGTCAGAAGGAAGGAAGGAAGGAAGGAAGGAAGGAAGGAAGGGAGGAAGGGAGGGAGGGAGGGAGGGAGGGAGGGAGGGAGGGAGGGAGGGAGGGAAGGATGGAAGGAAGGGGAATAAAGGTCCCAACCAACCCATTCATCTGTTGAGAAGCATGTGGGATGACCCCTATGAAGGCACACTGTCCATGGCAGGGTGTGATACCAGTGTGGGGACTGGCACAGCTCTCAGGCATTGGTTTACCCCTTGCCCCTGAATTTGCATAACTTTTTTCCAATCAAGATTCTGTCCTGATCACCCCTAGAAGATTCATGGCACAATCATCCAGCAACATGTAGATAAAATATTTCTACTCTCCATTATGAGAACTCTCTTGTGAGGCGTAGAAGGAGGCAGAGCTCTCCCTAAAAGAGTATAGGGGTTGACTCTCGAAGGGGCCCTATTACGCCAGTGTCTGAGGTCAGCTTCCCACAGCACTCTCTCTGCTTGTCTCACAGTGAATGAGCTGATGTGGCCTTTCCAGCTTCAGCATGTGCGCAAGTTGTGGCGACTTTCCTAGACAGAACCTAGGAAAGATGGTCCCCGTAGCTAGCAGTTTCCTTTCTCTCCTTTATCCCCTTGCTTGTTATCTTTCTAAGGTTTTGTTGCTTGTAGAGTTACGAGGGAGATTCAACCCGTAAGGAAGATAACCGTGAGCTACTGACCAGAAAATCAGGCCTGGTTATGTTTCTAGTAACTATCTGACTCAATAGGAAGGAGGTGGAAAAGAACCACAGACTCAAAATCCCTTTCCCACACACACACCTGAAATCACACTATTAGCCACTTATGTGTAAAGCCTTGTCAACATGGGTCCTCTCTAGATTTTCCTGGGAAGGGTAATGCCTTCTAAAGAATTAGTTTAAATGAACATTCATTCATTCATTCAATGATTATTGCATGTTTATTTACACCACTCTACCGAGTACCTGGACATATGGGCAAATAAGACAATCATTGACTTTAATGATAATTACAATAACATAGTAATGATGACGGCGAACACTTTCTGAATGTTTATTATGTGACCAGCACTCTTCTTACCTCTTTACGAGTGTTTGCCCTGAAGCCTTACAATAGATCTGAGGAAGATAACGTTATCTCCATTTGTTCGATGAGGAAATCGAGGCACATAGAAGTTAAGCAGCTTGCCTAGGGTTCCAAACCAGGTAAGTAGCTAGACTGGTAGGTAAACTTTTAATCTAACAGGTATTTTTCCAGGAAGGGGTCATAAGCTAAGAGTTGAAGGCCTGAGTTCTTTCTCCCTGAGTCATGGAGGGAAGGGATATGGCCCAGAATGAAATACCAGATGGTCCTCAGGCCCAGGTCCTGTCCTGGTGATGTTGGAAAGACTTCAAGCTGGATATGGATTTGAGAAGACCAGCGAGAGATTAATCAAGTGAAAAGGAAATTGCATGGAAACCAGCCAGGATGAATGGTATGCCCAGTAAACAGAAGGAGCAAAGCTAGGGAAAGAGCCTGGGCCGAGTTGGGATCCTGAGGCCTGCAAAACCAAGCAACTTTTACCCAAAAGTGGCACGAGGCTTGGGATCCAGGCAGCCCAGCGACCAAGCAAAACTAGAGAAATAAATCTGCCTGGCAGCAGTGTGACAAGTTGAGCCTTGGTAAGAAAGGATATAGTGACCCAAAGGATCTGGCTACACAAGGAATCTGCCAAACTGGGGTGAGATGGCAGCGGCCTGCAGTTCCTAAACCATACTTCAACGTCAAGCTGAAGGGAATTGAGAATCTGCTTTGGGCCTGGCTGAATGTCCCCAAGCTCATCCTAAGTGGCTCAGAGTTGGATTGACTGAGCCACTTAAGATCAGACCACAGACTAAGCCCGACATATGAAATTCAGGTTTGTCAGGGGGCACTGAGCAGGTCCCCTTCCCTTCCAATGTGAGTTCTGGATATGCCACCGAAAGGGGGAGATTGTCCCTTCCTAAAGCGCTCCCTGGGACATGGAATTGAGCCCTGAATAATAACTTCATTCACTTTCTAAGTTCTCTGCCAGTTCTCCCTGGCTGACACGGAAGCTGTGTGCTTGCAAGGGAAAGCCAGCCTCCCTCTTTTAGGGCTGGATCTTCTAGGAACTAGGAGATTGGGACAATGGAGGGCAGTGAGAAGCCATGGGAGGGAGGTGCTAAAATTAACTCACCTGTCACCAAGTCACATTCAGAACC